GAGGGAGACTCAGCCCCGCTGGGGGGTGGGGGGGAGGGGACCCACGTGGCGTAGCCGAAGACGATGTTGGCCGTGACCTGCAGCGCCCCGACCTGTGGGATGACGTCATCGTTGAGATTCCTGCAAGAGAAGTGCCGCTGGGCAGCGCTGGGACACGCCATCCCCCCAAAACCCGCCACGAGGCACCCCAGACCCCGGAGGCTGCCCTGCATCCCTCTGCCCACCCATGGGGACGTTTGCTGGCACAGCCAGGGCAGCGATGCTTTGGGGCATCCAAACAAGGCCAACAGGTTTGGATGGGACCCCAGGGATGCCCCGCACCGCTCCCCCAGGGAACCAGCACCCAGGGGCTGGTGCTGGGACCTCCTGGCATCTTGTCCCCGGGCTGGTGGCCAGGGCCCGGTCACCTCTTGCGGCACATGTCGAGCAGGAAGATGTTGAGGCCGGTGCGGCGCTGCTGCATGCTCCGCAGCACCCGCTGCACGCACAGGCAGTGTGCCGAGGTGTAGGAGCTGGGTGCGTCGATGGGCACCATGAAGCTGTTGCCAAAATTTTCATAGCCGTGCCCGGCATAGTAGAGCAAACCTGCCGGGAGGGGAGGAAAGTGGGTGACGTCCCTTGACCCCCCCGGTGCCCGCTTCTTGCCCAGCCGCCCCCGCAAGAGCCCACCAGCACAAAGCCACCGGTTGCCCCTTTTTTTTGCCCCAGCGGGTGCCGCCGCACCGTAGACGCCCTTGTCGAGGAGGAGGAGGAACTCGTTGACGGCCATCTGCATCTCAGCCTTGCGCAGGTCCAGCAGCGAGACCACCTTGAAGTCGAGCTGGCGGAGGAGGGCGCTGAGGGCGTGCACGTCCACCATGGGCGCCTTCAGCTGTTTGTGGTGCAGGTAGTGCATGTTGCCGATCAGCAGGGCCACTTTGTCGGTGGCTGCCGGGACAGGAGGAGGCGGCGCTGGGGATGGAGTGGGACACTCCCGCTGTCCCCGCTACCTTCAGCCCACAGAGGTGACACCCAGCTGTGGCCAGTGTCACTGTCCCCGGGTACCGGGGTGCCCTGTGGCATCCCTGCCTCGCTGCTCCACTCTCCCCGGCGCACTGCACCCAAAGCACCCCTGACTGAGCGGAGCCTTGCAGAGTGACACTGGTGACACTGGGGATGGTCACAGCCCCCACAGGGCCACCGACCCCTCCTGGGCAGGCTCTTACCGTACAGCTGGCCGGGGCTGCTGTGCTCCGGGGAGCCTGGAAGGAGAGAGACGCTGTGCCACGGCCCCGCGGTGCCC